GAAGCTTGTCGTTCCAGAGACTCTCCGAGAAGACGTATTGCACCACTGCCATGCGATTTGGAAGGCTGACATCAGGGTATCGGCAGGACGTATCAGCGGATGCAACGACATTTCCATTGGCCCGGGCTGTTCAAGAGCGTGCAGCGTCACGTTGGGAAATGCGTCGACTGTTAGACGGGAAGAGGCCGTCCCACGATCCGGGGATAGTCGCCGGGCAACATAGTCGCGACATACTCGTTCCAAGTCGTGGCGATGGACCATATCCCGTCACTACCTGCATCGCACAATGGTAATACGGAGCTCCTGGTCTGGGTAGATCTCTTCACAGGTTTTGTGATCGCGAAGACAAGCGCGTCTCGAACGGCCCAAACCATGGCGGAATCGTACGAGGAAGCTGTCTTCAGACAATTTGGCGCCAGCGAAGCGATTCGTCACGACCGCGAGCCCGGTTTCATGTCGGATTTTTTCAGGGCCTTCAACAAGATGATGGGCCAGCGGCAACGCGCGACGCTCGCGTACCGTCCGCAAGCGAACGGAGCGGCAGAACGCATGGTGCAGACCATTACGAGGGTCATCAAGATGTACATTGCCGATATAGATCAACGCGACTGGGACCAATACGCGGAACGACTTACGTACGCGCTTAACACAGCTTACAATCGAATGAGGAATGAGACCCCGTTTCTTCGTGTGCACGGCTGAGATCCACGGTCCACGTTGGAAGCGACGCTGGCCGTAGGGAACACGTCGCATCGGGACGCAGATGCTCGTCGGTGGAGGATGCGCATTCAACGCCACTACCAGATAGCACGCCGCCCAATCCCTGGAACTGGTCCGCGAGGCAGTGAACACGAGAGCGGCGCGCCAGAATGCGCACGCGACGGAGCACGCGATAGAACGGGGCTCGCGAGTCTGGCTGTATCTGGATCGAGTCAAACCGGGGTATGCGCGGAAACTCGCGCACATGTGGCACGGGCCGTTTCGCGTCGCAGAATTGGTCAGCGCGTACGCGGTGCGTCTAGAGACCCACGGAACGCCGTATCAGTTGTTCCCAATCGTACACGTTTCAAAGCTAAAACTCGTCCGAGAATTCCCGTCACGGCCTGAACTGCGGTTGACGGTGCACGCCGATGAACGTTTTGATTTTGACGAGGAGCTCCTCCCGGAAGAAAGCTGGGAGGCACGCGACGTGAACGAGGGAGTGTACGAGGTGGAACAGAACTTGGATGTGCGCGAAGGACGGAAGAC